CATTAGTAAGTTATGGAGCATAATCTCAACACTATGCACATTTTTTTTTTTTACACATGCTAGTACCAACCACCACCAGCTGCCCCAATACCAAAAGAATATGCATTCAAAATCTGATGTTGATTCTGTTTGTAGAGCAATCAAGGTGCCCTATGCGTGCCACTCACGACAGAAAACATTTTGCACATTTATTTAACACACACTATGCGCCAGGTGCTGTTCTAAGCACTTAACAAATGTCGACTCGTGGTCATATCATGGCTGCTACAACTCCAGGAATCTCAGACAGAAAAACCTGCCCAGAAATCCCCAGCAAGCTTTTGCTTACAACTCAGGAAATGGACTTTGTTGGTTTGTTTTTTAACTAAGCACAGTATTCCCCCCCCCCCAAATGTTATATTGTTATTAGTAAAAAACTAAGGGAGAATGGATATTGGGTGGGCAATGAGTGTTTGCCACCAGCAGCCATTTCTCAACTTCTCAGTAAACAATTCTTATGGTATCTTCTTTTTTGGTCAAGAGCAATAAAGTTTTTATATATCATAAAGAACTTTAAACAACTAAAGTACACTAGATACTGTCACTTCAGTTTCTCAAGCTTAAATGGTCAACATAGCAAAACACGGATATTTTATTTATTTTTAATATATCTTTATTGATTTCAGAGAGAGGAAAGGAGAGGGAGAGAGACAGAACCATCAATGATGAGTCATTGATCGGTTGCCTCCTGCATGCCCCCAATTGGGGATCGAGTCCACAACCCGACATGTGCCCTGACTGGGAATTGAACCCAGATCGCCTGGATCCTAGGTCGATGCTCAATCGCTGAGCCACGCCCGGCTGGGCTGGATATTTTAAATATAAGCTGAAAACCAATATAAGATGTCTCAAAAACACATTGTTTTGTTATTAGCTATATTTCACTTATTTAAAGATCAGTTTATGACACTTTTAACCACCTAAAACATAGCTAAAAACAGAATGGAAGCAAAAATGTCCAGTAAGCCAAACATTTATTTCAATTAACATTTAATGGTCAACTTAATATAATGTATAATATAATCTTAAAGGTGTAATATTAGAGACAAAAGTAAACTGCTAAGAGAATACAAAGAAAGGAACGATTAATACTGACCTAGAGCAGCATTTTCCAACCGTTTTCATCTCATGACACACACAAGCTAATTACTAAAATTCTTTGGCACTCAAAAAATATATTTTTTGCCAATCTGTAAAAAAAAAGGTATTTTTGATTTACAAAAACTTTACCTACCCTTTTTGCTCCAGTGACTTTTTAAAAAATCAGGTGCCTAGACATGTATGTAAAGATTTCTGACACCAAGAATTAACCAACCAGATGCACCCTTATTATGCGACATGACCAATAAGCTGCAACTCTATTATGTGACCTATATATTTATGGTTCAAGACACAGCATTCACATCAGACGGCTATTGTTGTGTTGGCTGTTGTCATTTATCTGACAATTAAGGGAAAAGAGGTCAGTGCCCCTGACTTGAGTCAGGTATTACATGTTTTAAAAATTTTTATGCCACATCAGTTGAAAATTACTGACCTAGAGGGGTGAGGGGAGAAAAAGGTCAGGAAAGCACTTTGGTGCAGGTGGCATTTGAGCCTTGCAGGCAGATCTAGTAAGGAGGAGAAGAACTTGCAGTCCTGATGCAGCAGCATGTCTGGGAAACAGCAAGCATTCTGGTGTAGTTGTCACAGTCAGTGCATGGAGAGATCTAGTGATACAGCTAGAAATACAGGTTAAGTCCAAATTCAGGTTTAATGGAAAATTGTTTCAGAAAGCTATCTCATATAGCTATTTCAGAAAGCTATCTCATGGAATGGAAGGCTGGAATACAGAGTTACATGACCAGCTACAACAGGAACAGTCTTCTCCCCTTCTCCCACTAGCTCCTTAAGAATATTTCCAAACTTCTCACATGGTATAGAAGTCTCTTCACATTTGGGCACCTGAGTTCCCTCCACCATTTAATTTGCTTGGAATGCTTATACAGTACTCTCTTTTTTCCACTAGCTCGCTGGCTTTTATGCATCCTTCGATACTTGGCTCAAATGAGAACATCTGTCATTTCACCAAAGAGTTGGATTCCTTCGCTCTCCTGATTACCAAACCAGGGCCAGTTCCCTGTGGGGTTCCCATGACACCTTGTCTACACCAATGCATATCATACTATATTAACTACTGACTTCTGTCTCTTACCACTTGCATATGAGCTCCTTGAGGATACATCTCTATACCCTCGCATCTATGATGTGATAAATGTTCAATGCAAGTTTATCAAATATAATAAACGAGGAGGTTATTTTAATAATCTAGAGCAGGAGTAGGGAACATGCAACCTGCAAAATCATTTCATCTGGGCCTGCTAAGGCAACTGCAGGCGGGACTTGAAATTCAATAAATCTAGGAGCTTTTTGGTAATTTTGTATGGCCTGAGAATGATGTTATAAACATCCAAATGGCCCTTGGCAGAAAAAAGGTTCCCCACCCCTGATCTAGAGTAAGGAAAGGTGCTAAAGCATGAAAGTGGGAAATGAAAAGTTTAAGGCAGATACCAAAGTTCACATGTTTTACTCATAGGAGAAACCTTCAGGGCCCCACCCTAAATCTATTCTTATTTTGAGAATACTTTTAATAAACATGGTCATCAGGTTTTATAACCTACGAAAACCATTTTAAAATAAAGAACCTGAATCATTAAGGTTAAATTACAGTGAGCATACTTCTGCTTAACAAGATAAACATGTACTATTTCTAAAATGTTTTCATCCAAATAAAATTGAGGTGCTTTTTCCTACCATCAAACACTGTACTGACACTATGATAGAGTGTGGCAGAACCTCATACACTGCTTATGAGGATGTAAATTGATATAACTTCTATAGATAATTATCAATAGCTCTAAAATTTAAAAGGGGATATCATTTGGCACAGTAAATCCACTTTAAAAGTTATCTTGCAGATATACAGGGTGTCCCAAAAAATGTATCCACACTTTGAATAATTATAAAGGCAGTGTTTATTAAAATACATTTCATTTTCCAACACCATTTATTGAAAAGACTGTCTTTACTCCCTTATATGCTCTTAACTCCTTTGTCAAATACTGAGTATAATGGCTTTGGTCGATTTCTGGGGTCTCTGTTCCATTCCAATGACCTGTTCCTGTACCAGGCTGTTTTGATTACAATGGCTTTGTAATATAATTTGATATCCGGTATTGTGATCCCTCCTTTGTCTTCTTTCTCAAGATTGCTGTGGCTATTCAGGGTCTTTTTTGGTTCCATGTAAATTTTTGGAGTGTTTTTTCTAGATCTGTGAAATATGCCGTTGGTATTTTAATAGGGATTGCATTGACTCTATAGATTGCTTTCGGTAGTATGGATATGATGATGATGTTAATTCTTCCAATCCATAAACACAGTATATGCTTCCATTTGTTTGTATCTTCTTCTATTTGTTTTTTCAATGTCCTGTAATTTTCTGAATACGAGTATTTTACCTCCTTGGTTAAGTTTATTCCAAGGTATATTATTATTTATTTTTGCAATGTTAAATGGGACTGTTTTTTCAGTTTCTCTGAGAGTTCATTATTGGTGGACATAAATTTCTGTATGTTAATTTTGTGTCCTGCTACTTTGCCGAATTCATTTATTAAACCTAGTAGTTTTTCAGTGGAGTCTATAGGGTTTTCTATGTACAATACCATGTCATCTGCGAATAATAACATAAATGGTATTGGGCAAATTGGACAAGTACGTGCAAAAAAATGAAACTAGACCACCAACTTACACCATATACTAGAATAAACTCAAAATGGATAAAAGACTTAAATGTAAGATGTGAAACCACCCAAATCCTAGAAGAAACCATAGGCAGCAAAATCTCAGACATCTTTCATAGCAGTATGTTTGCCGATACATCTCCTAGGGCAAGGGTAACAAAGGAGAAAATAAACAAATGGGACTACATCAAAATAAAAAGCTTCTGCACAGCAAAGAAACCATCAACAAAATGAAAAGGGAGCCCGTGTATGGGAGAACATATTTGCCAATGACACATCTAATAAGGGGTTAATTTCCAAAATATATAAAGAACTCATATAACTTAACAAAAGGAAGACAAACAATCCAATTAAAAATGGGCAAAGGACCTAAATAGATACTTTTCCAAGGAGGACATACAGATGGCCAAGAGACATATAAAAAAATGCTGAAAGTCACTAATCATCAGAGAGATGCATTTAAATGACAATGAGGTATTACTTCACACTTGCCAGAATGGCTACCATCAATAAATCAACAAACAACAAGTGCTGACAAGAACGTGGAGAAAAGGGTACCCTAGTACACTACTGGTGGGAATGCAGACTGGTGCAGCCACTATGGAAAACAGTATGGAATTTCCTTAAAGAATTAAATATGGAACTGCCATTTGACCCAGTGATCCAACTTTTAGGAATATATCCTAAGAATCCTGAAACACCAATCAGAAAAAATATATGCACCTCTATGTTCAAAGCAGCACTATTTAGAATAGCTAATATCTGGAAACAGACCAGGTGCATATCAATAGATACGTGGATAAAAAAGATGTGGTACATTTACACAATGGAATACTATGCAGCTGTAAAAAGAGGGATCTCTTACCCTTTGAGACAGCATGGAGGGAGCTGGAGAATATCATGCTAAGTGAAAAACGTCAGAGAAAGACCAGTATCACATGATGTCACTCATTGTGGAATCTAATGAATAAAATAACCTGATGAACAGAATAGATCCAGAGACACAGAAGCATGGAACAGACTGATGAATCTCAGAGGGAAGAGTATGGGGGAGAGGAGGGGGCGGGCGGGCGAGATTAACCAAAGAACTTATATGCACATATGCATAACTCATGGACACAGACAATAGGTGATGAAGGCCTAGGGGGTTGGGGGTAGGGGTCAATGGGGGAAAAAGGTGAGCATCTGTAATACTTTCAACAATAAAGATAAATTAAAAAAATAAAAATAGCCCAGCCAGTGTTGCTTAGTGATTGAGTGTGGACCCGTGAACCTGGTTTGATCTCCAGTAGGGGGTGTGCATGAGGCAGCTGATTGATGATTCTTTCTCATCAATGATGTTTCTTTCTATCTCTCCCTTCCTCTCTCTGAAATCAATAAAAACATATTTAAAAATAAATAAAATTAAAAAAAATACATATTATTTTCAAAATGTAACAGAATCTATAGACATTGTTTAATTGTTTTGTCAACACCTATTTTCAAACTGATGTCCGTTCTGGTCCAGGCACTGCTGATAACGCAAAGCAATAGAATCACAAACATCAACAAACATTTCATTTGGTATTTGAGTGCATTCTTGTTCAATGGCTACTCTCAGTTCAGAGACTGTTGCTGGTTTTGTAGCGTAGACTTTATCTTTTAAGTATCCCCATAAAAAAAAGTCTAGAGGTGTGAGGTCTGGTGAATGAGGAGGGTATTCTACGAAACCCCTTCGTCCAATCCACCTGTTTGGCAAGATGTCATCAAGGTAGGATCTTACATCATGATGGTAGTGTGGGGGTGCCCCATCTTGCTGAAAATAAAACTCTTCATCTTCAAAGACCTCTCTAATGCTTGGCATGACAGACTGTCGCAGTAAGTTCAAGTAAATGGGACCAGTCACAGTACCATCAACAAAGAATGGTCCAATTAATCCTCTTGATGATAAGCCACACCACACTGTAACTCCTGGTAAATTAACATGATGTTCCATCATAGCATGCGGATTGTCAGATCTCCCATAGGTGCAATTGTGGCGGTTAATTGAACCATTTAATTTAAATGTAGCCTCATTACTCCACACAATCTTTGTTGGAAAGTGTGCATCTTCTACACATCTTTCCAAGTACCATTCGCAATACTCCACTCTTCGATCTGGATCATCTTCACTGATAGCATGGACTAATCTTGGAATGTCACTTTTCCAATGGCAGCGCTTCAAAATACGATGCATCGACAGATGATTTCGAAATTCCTATGTCACGACTTGCTTGCCGCACAGATTTTCTTGGACTTTGGTGATACATTTCCAATACCCTTTCTTGTTTTGTGGGGCTTGTCGATGTCCGTGGTCTTCCAGAGCTCTTTTTGTGGACATTCTGAATACTAATTCCATCAGCTTCAAACTTATCTCTAATTCGAGTGATGGTAAGTCGTGTAGGTGGACCTGTTTGAAATTCCTTCATAAACTGTCTTTGTACTTCAACTGCGTTTTCAAACTTCCAATAGCATTTTAGGATGAATTTCTTTTGTTCAAAGCTTAGTCTGGCTGCCATTATTTATTCCAATGGGTTAAATCTGAAAAGAGAGAAACATCAATTGAGCTATCAGCTGTTAAAGTGTATATACACTGTTTTGGGACACCCTGTAGTTATGAATAAAAGACATTCATTCACTTAGCATTGTTTATAACAGCAAAAGACTAAACAACCCACAAACCATCAATAAGGTTAGAGCTAATTAATCTGTTTCATCCATACACTGGAAAATTATAGAGCAGTTCAAAAGAATAAGATAAGTCTATACGCACCTATGTATTAGGTGAATGATGTAATTTGCGTACACAAATAATACCATATTTATGAAAAGGATATATTCTCATGTGCCTGTAAAGTGTAAACCATAGAAAATGGTTTGTCAGGATAAACACCCACTTTTTTTTTTATCCTCACCTGAGGATACGTTTATTGACTTTAGAGAGAGAGAAAGGGGGAGACAGAGAGAGAAAGAAACATTGACTGGTTGCCTCCTGTACATGCCCTGACCAGGGATCTAAACTGCACCCTTTCTGGTGTATGGGACTATGCTCCAGCCAACCGAGCCACCTGGCTAGGGCAACACCCACTTTTGAACACTTCCTTTAAGAGGAGGAATAGAAGGAAGCTTTGGGGTTGAGTTTTGGAGGGTTGTTTTTTCACTTTTCATTCTAACTTTTTACAAGAAAAATGTATGTACATACTATGTTTATAATTAATAAAAATGACAGACAACAGTATGGTGATTTCCAGAAAGAGGGTGGTGGGAGAAGGTAGAAGAGGGTATAGGGGAACACAATGGTGGTGAAAGGAGACTTGGGGTGGTAAGCACACAATACAATATAGATGATTAATTACAGAATTATAACCTGAAACCTATATAACTTTATTAACGAATGCCACTCCAATAAACTCAATAAAAAATAATAACTAAGTTAGGTTCACAAAAGCCTTACTTGGGAACTGTGCTACTGAATGATCCCCAGAAAGGTAAAAGCTGCCACTCGGAACATGTAGTATCTGTGCCATTTTTATGTGTTTGTGTGCGTCTGTGAACAAGCCAAATTCTCCCAATGACTTGAGGATTGTGTAGGACAGGCACACATATACTACGCATTTAAAGTGTTTCTTGTATTAACTGAACTCCTCAGAGGACAGGCTCACCACAGACAAATTTAAGGCTAGCCACGTTACTAGTCACCATGTGCTCCCCAAGGAAGCTCAAGCATCTAGACACGAGCAACAAGAGCTCAAACAGACTTCCTAGAATATCTTCAGGAAACTATAGGCTGATGTGTAGATAGTGCTTGGTCCAGCAGCTACATTCAAATCTGGTGTGGTGTTTGAGAACGTGGCCTTTCTTCCCAGAAAAAAGAGCCTGAATCCCTCTAAGGTTTCCCCGGAGGCGGAGCCCAAGCCCAAAGCAAAGCAAGACCCACAGTCAGCACCACAGCTGTGGAAGCTGGCAGGGCCTAGGTCAAACTCAAATGTGGGGGCTATATAGGGGTAGCACCCGCGTCAGAACCGCTCCCACACTCAAAAGAAAAGTCGGAGCTGCTCTTAGTATCAAGTCAGGAACAGGAACAGGAGGTGAGGTGGGCTTCAGGGCAGTGCACAGAACCACTAGGAGTGATAAGCTAGAGTCACATTCTTGTAGAGTCCCAGCCATAGTTGTGGAAGCAGCAGGGCCTGGGCCTGACTTGGGTGTAGGGGCAATCGGAGTGCACCGCCATGTCACAGACACTCTGGACCTCAAAGCAGAAGTCAGAGTTGCTCTTGGTGTTAAGTCAGGAGCAGGAACCCAAGGTGAGCTGGGCTTCAGGGCAGAACGCAAAGTCCCAGTCAAGAGGAACACAAAAAGACAAACACTAAGACATATCATAATTAAAATGGCAGACGTCAAAGACAAAGAAAGAATCTTTGTCTCTTCCTGACTGTCGCGGGAAGAGAGTGACAGTCAGTTACCTACAAGGAAGCTCCCGTAAGGCTGTCAGCTAATTTCTCATCAGAAACACTACAGGCCAGTGGGGAATGGCATGAAGCATTCAAAGTAATGATAAGCAAGGATCTGAAACCAAGACTACTCTATCCAGCAAAGCTATCTTTCAAAATTGAAGGAGAAATAAAAAGTTTCCAGACCAAAAAGGGACTTTATTACCACCAAACCAGCATCGCAAGAAATGTTAAAGGGACTAAATATATATAGAGAGAGGAACATAGGCATAAAAAATAGGCAATAAATAAGTACCTATCAATAATAACCTTAAATATAAATAGTTTAAATGCTCCAATCAAAAGACATAGGATAAAAAAAAAAAAAAAGAGATAGGATAACTGAATGGATAAGAAAACATGACTCATATATGCTGTCTACAAGACACCCATCTCAGAACCAAAGACTCACACAGGATGAAAGTGAAGGGATGAGAAAATTTTCTGTGCAGGAACAACAACAACAAAAGCTGGGGTAGCAATACTTATATCTGACAACATAGTCTTCAAACCAAAGGCCATAATAAGAGACAAAGAAGGCCACTACATAATACTAAAGGGATTGATCCAACAAGAAGATATAACCCTGGTAAATATATATGCATCCAATATAGGAGCACCTAAATATATATAAAAAAAACTCTTGGAGAAGTTTAAGAGAGACACTGACAGCAATACAGTCATAGTAGAGGACTTTAACACCCCACTGACATCATTGGATAGATCTTCCAGACAAAAATAATCAACAAGAAAACAGTGATCTTAAACTATATACTAGACCAGATTGATTTAATTGATATTCACAGAACATTTCATTCCAAACATGCAGAATATACATTCTTCTCAAGTGCACATGGAACATGCTCAAAGAGCACATATTAGGACACGAAATAAGTCTAAACAAGTTCAAGAAGATTGAAATCACATAAAGCATCTTCTCGGATCACAATGGCTTGAAACTAGAAATCAACTACTATTAAAAAAACCTCAAAAATATTCCAACACATGAGGCTAAAGAGCATGCTATTAAACAATGAACAGGTTAACAATGAGGTCAAGGAAGAAATAAAAAACTTTCTGGAAACAAATAAAAAGGAACACACAACAATCCAAATACATGGGACATAGCAAAAGCAGTCCAGAGGGAAGTTTACTACATTACAGGCCTGCCTCAAGAAACAAGAAAAAGCTCAAATAAACAACCTAACCCTATAATTAAAAGAATTAGAAACAGAAGAAAGGCCCACAGTAAGTAGAAAGAAGGAAATAATGAAGATCAGAGCAGAAATAAATGAAAGAGATTAAAAAACCAATACAAGAGATTAACGAAACCAAGAGCTGGTTCTTTGAAAAGATAAACCAGATTGATAAACCTTTAGCCAGACTCATCAGGAAGCAAAGAGAGAGGCCCCAAGTAAAAATAAAATACTGTGAGTAACTACATGCCAACAAACTGGATAACCTGGGCGAAATGGACAAATTCCTAGAAACATCATTCTGAACTTAATCAGGAAGAATCAGAAAACCTGATAGGCCCATAACAACTGATAAAATTGAAGCAGTAATAAAAAACAACAACCTCCCAGCAAACAAAAGTCCTGGACTGGATGGCTTCATAGGCAAGTTTACCAAACACTCAAAGAAGAGCTAACACATATCCTCCTCAAGCTTTTCTAAAAAATTCAAGAGGAAAGCAGGCTTCCAAGCTGTTTTTATGAGGCATTATCCTAATTCCAAAACCAGGTAAAGACACCAGAAAGAAGGAAAATTACAGGCCAATATCCCTAACGAAGAGAGATGCAAAAATCCTCAACAAAATATTAACAAATTAGATCCAGCAATACATTAAAAAGATCATACACCATAATTGGGAAGGAAGAAGTGAAAGTGTTACTTTTTGCAGATGACGTGATTCTGTATATAGAAAACCTTAAAGGCTCCTCCAAAAAAACTATTAGAAACAATAAACAAAAAGAGTAAAATTGCAGGATACAAAAGCCAATGTACAAAAATCCACTGTATTCCTATATACTAACAATGAAATTTCAGGGGGAAAAAAGAGAGAAAAAAACAATTCCTTTTGCAACTGCAACAAAAAAATAATAAAATACCTAGGAATAAACTTAACAAAGGATGGGAGGACCTATATATTGAAAACTACAAAGCATTATTAAAAGAGACTGAAAAATACACAATGAAATAAAAACATATTCTGTGTTAATATGTTGGAAGAACCAACATAGTTAAAATGTCCATATTACCCAAAACACTATACAGGTTTAATGCAATCTCCATCAAAATACCAATGTGACTTTTAAAAATAGAACAAAAAATCACCAGATTTGTATGGAGCCACAAAAGACCCGGTATACCCAAAGCCATCCTGAGAAAAAAGAAAAATTTGAAAACATTTACTTGCAAAGATATGTGCACCCCTATGTTCACTGCAGCATTATTCACGGTGGCCCGGACATGAAAAAACATATGAAGTGTCCCCAAACAGCTGACTGGATAAAGATGATGTGGGTCATATATATAATGGAATACTACTCAGCCATAATGAAAGATGAGGGATGGACCTTGAGAATATCATGGTAAGCGAACTAAGTCAGTCAGAAAAAGCTAAAAACCATATGATTTCACTCATATATGGGATATAAAACAGAAACTCATAGACACAGATAACAGTATGGGAAGGGGGGTTGGTGAGGTAGTAAAGGTAAATGGGGCCAAATATATGGTGATGGAAGACGATTTGACTTTGGGTGGAGGGCACACAATATACAGATCATGTATCACAGAAATGTACATTTAAAACATATGTGATCTTATTAACCAATGTCACCCCAATAACTTTAATAATAAAGAAAATGTATTTCAGCATATCCCAAACTGAGACAGGCTATAAGTATATGAGTATTTTAAATATAAAGTAGCATTAAGCACATAAGCATAAACAGAATAAACAAATTATTTGCTGAAAAAATGCAGTAAAATCTACCATTCATCGTCGAATTCATATTTATATCTACTATTTTATCAGCTA